ACTTTCAATTTCAGTAGTAAAATTAATTCCACACATGAGCATATTACATAAATCAAAGCATTATAGAAATTATCTTCACAGACAAAAATTTTGTCAGCATATAAAAGATGTAGTAATTTTCAAATTAAAAAGAAAAGATGTGGAACAGAGATCTGAAATCCAATTAATATTCTCATTTTCTATTTCTCCTTTGTGTAACCAATGTTACATTTATCACATTTTAATTCATGAGAAAGGCAATCCAAGTAGATGGACAGGTACACTTACAAAATTAGCACAGGAAAATATACACTATGTTTTATTTCTGTTTTGTATAGTAAACTCTTTGTTTTTGAGAGAAATTCTTCAGAATTTTTATTTGCTCCCCTTCCACTAATAATGAAAGGCTACTAGTGTTTTTTTCTATTTATCAGCTTGCAAGTGTGCATATGTAAGAAGCATTTATTTGGTCTATGATATAAATAGCTAAAATAAATTTCCTATTTCCTTATTTTTGCCCTGATAAAGTATATTTAAATGCCAGCTGCATCGTAAACTTCAAATAACTCAGTACCAGAGCTTGAAGTGCTATTTAATGTTTGAATACAAGTAAATGCTAAAGAACCTTAACATTTTGCTTTAATTTTTAATTAACCATAATTTTTTGCAATAAATATTCACCCAATAATTACTTCTAATTTGTTATTCAAAAAGAATTACAGAGTAAAAAGAGAAGCTGATTACTTAAAAAGTTATCATGATTAGTTCATATAAGAAGACTAAGGCATAAGAAAATTCCACAGAATAATAGTAAATATAAAAATTTCACTAGGAACTCAGCACAATCCTATTCTTACTTTGTAATTGTTGCAAATATTGCTATGTTCATACAATACTGTGGTTAGTCATTTAGGTAAATATATTCCTATATCCTCATGGTCAGGGTCCAACATATTCATTTATTTTTATCCCCAAAGCTAAGTCTGTACTAGGTAAATGACAAAGATTGGTTGGTTGGTTGATTGATTTACTGTTTAATCAGTTAAAGGAAACTAATGTTTAGAAAATTAATGACTTACTCAAGATTTTACAAGTATTTGTTTGATTCTATATCTAGAAATTCCCCCTAATTACTTGAAAAATTTTCCAGAGTTGGTTTTTGGTTCCCCTTTTTGTTTCTCTGTTTTTGTTTATGTTTTTGTATTTAATGGAATAGAGTCACGTGCCCAACTCACTGATGATGATCATACTCATACCCTTTTCTCTACTTCCAGGAACACCCAGAGCATGGGATAAACACTGGTTACAGGAACCTGAGTAAATCAAAATGTGCTATTTGTTGACTTTCATGGAAATACAATTTAACACTTTTCAAAATATAACACATATAAACATATAAACATATAATATAAACATAAAATATAAACATGCATGCAAGATCTATGTATTTACTTAATGTTTGTTCTGTTGCTTTTGTGTAATTATAGTTTTATATACCCATAGGTCTCTCTGAGACCTCTAGCACTGTCTGTTCCAGGAATCCAGTAATTATTTAACAGCTCTGTGTATTACTAAAAAGAAATTATAATATTTAGGTGCTTAAGATTCACTCAACTTACTCAAAAGTGAGTTTCCAAAAGAGCTTTTGCTCACTACTCTACTCTCTATCCTTTATTTTTCTTTATTCTTTAATTTGTTCTAAGTTCCATGAAGCAGGGGCTTAACTTTGTTCACTGCTATGTCCTCAACAAAGAGCAGTACTTGGCACATATTACCATTTATGTGCTAAAAACTAGTGTGTTTACATCTTTTAAAAGGTTTCTTTAGTTTGGTAATTCTCATTTCTCTTTCTCTCACTCTCTAAATAGTTACACAAAAATCTTATGTTAAAAACTAAACAAAATGATATATATTTACATGTATTCTGAAATCTGAAGTATTTATGTTCTACTCTTAAATCCAAATTACATAAATTTATAAAACTTAGATTCATAATTGGTGGGAAATAGGCCTAATGACCCCTCATGCTGATGTATCAACACATCGGGACAATAATGCTTTTTAAAATTATTTAAAATATTTTTATTGCATTTGTTGGGATTATATCAGTTAATATAATTATACAGGTTTCAAATGTACAATTCTCAGATACATCATCTGTATATTGTATTGTGTGTTAACCTACCAAAGTCAAGTCTCCTCCTGTCACCAAGGTGAATACTACTTTTTCTCAAAGTTCTGAATCAAAATTTTATGACATTGTAATTTTTAAAAACATTTACAGAGGATGGGCAATGGAGAAAGACAATTGGTTACATTTGTCTGGAATTTTATTTTTACATATGTACAGCCTTCAACAAGAATGTCAGAAACTGAGGGATTTCAAGAAAATAAGAAATTTAGTAAGGTCTTCAGCTTTGACTGCACCTAACATATCCAAGTACCACAATTAATTGTTATGCAATCATTTCATGTCCCTCAAATGATTAAAAATTATACATAATTGTATTACAAATATTAATAAGTTAAATATATTAAGTAAATAAATTAATAAACCTAAGTACTTAAGCACCCCTAGAGATGGACATTCCAGAAACTAACTTCAATTTGTCCTGATGTCTCATTACAACTGCCTCCAAGAAAAACTACTTTTCTCTAGTCTCTTCTCTGTGAAAACATAAAATATTTGCTTAGATTTATTCCTCTGAAAACACCTTAAAATATTTGTAGATATATATTAAAGCCAAATACAACATTAAACTATCTGAACAACTTTCTTCATTTAATTGAGCCAGTTTAAGTGTACATCTATTTAATGTTGAGATATGTGAATTAATTCACTATTTGAGTGGTGCAGGCACTTTCTAGATAAATATCAACTCAAGTTTTCCACTAAATAAGCTTTGAAAAACTATTTGTGAATTCCATCTTTTTTATATTGCATGTAATTTATATCTGTTATCATTAAGGCTATCTTAATGTGACACCATCCTTTTAAGATATAACTTTTCAAAAATTAATACCAAAATTGAAAAATATTGTTTTCTACATCAAATGAGTATTAACAGATTTTGACATCTTTTAAATAACAGTTGGGATATCTGATTCATGGTGTGTTTTTCAACATTTGTTCCCAGGCAGTCACACAATTGAGTCACTCAAGATGACTCGCAAATGTCCCCAGTAAAACTCACACACACTTTATGACTTGTCTAGGAAATGTAGATCATCCTTGTGGCTTTCTCTCTCTCTCTCTCTCTCTTTTGTTGATAGCATACACTATGGTATGATATAAAAATGAAATGGAAAATATTATTACATAGACTATTTGCAAAATCACAAACTTTAAGCCAGTTATCCAGAGTACATATGACATTTTGAGAAATTTCAATACTAAGCAATTTGTATCTTCTATTTTTAAAATATAGAACTTTTTTTACACTTTAAGGCTTAATTATTCAAGTTCTTAATATGTTAAGTGATTCTTAAGAAAGATATAGCACTGGCCACAGATATTTTCAAAGGCTTCTCAATGAAGATTTTCCTTTTTTTTAAAGTGATGGCTTATACTAAAATGATTCTTACCTTAATCACCCCAGATCTGATGTAAAATTTAATTTATGTTCTGAAGGTTGAAAATAAAGATTTTTTAAAAAATTTGAACTAGTACTTACGTTGTTTTCTTGAATGCCTATCACATTTACACATTTTATCAACACATGGTGTATAAAAGTAATAAATGCAACACTATGACATTTTAAACTTAGCATATAAAATACTCAAATTATTCAGAAGAATATGACTTTTATGCTTTTCAAAATGCAACGTTTCTTTATACATAGAAACAAACATATACAAATATGGGCAGAACTACCTATATAATTATTTAGCCCTTTGGAAGTCACAAATGTAATATTTGATGTTTTAACCCCTTTTTGGGGACCAAAAACATCATAATCTATAGTTATTTCTGGTTTTGTTGAGAGAAACATTTCAAAAGTGTACAGGAGTGTACAAAATCAACTATTTAACTCCCAAATGAACCTTCTGACATCTCAGCCCCAGCATCTCAATAAGGTTTTGGTTACTCTGCTTTGAGGTCATTTGAAGTAATTCAGAAAGGAGAAAAAAAAATCAGATTTAGCATTATGATGTTAACATCATTATACTACTAATGTAATATAACCATTTATATATGGTAAACTTTATTTGCATTAACTATGATTTTGTTGTATATAGAAAAAGTCATTTCATATCTAAGAGAACAACTTTTACATAAAAGTATGTTCTGGAACATATCTGTAAACTTTGAAATTTTCTAAGATCTCAGGGCATATCCTTCTAAGTTCCAAGCATTTCTTTTATATGGACTACATACTAGAATGACACTACTGCAAATAAATATCTAATTTTATGACATCCATTTAAAATATGTTCAACTATCTAGGGCATGACTTATTGTTAATCATTTACAAGTTAAATTTTTCACCTTAATTTTTCATGCTGTATTATTATTGCCAGGTGATTATTTCCTTCACGGCTGATAACTGAGCATTCTAATTATAAACAGCAGCATAAATTACTGGAACCCATAATAAATAATCTTTTAAAGGGTCAAAGAATCATATAGGCAATTGACCACTTTTATGCTGGAAGAGCAAAGCATATAGTTTTTTAAATCAAAGTGTAAGAGCTTTGTATGCTGGCAAGAAAATAGTCTACTAAAGATCGTGCGTGCTCTACATTTGGCAAGATAAGACAAGGAAAAAGAAAACAAAAAAAACCATCTGACAGCGAACAACCTGCTAGGCTCTGTGTTCTGCAATTTTTTTTCAAATAATATTATTTTGCTCTGCCAGAGAAGAGGACAGTTCATATATCTTATCACATACAGGCACAGTAAATTCTTGCTATGGGTAGTTATTCAGAACCACAGACTTCTAGACTGAAAGAATCTGAGTTTTCTGAAGTTTCTGAGATATTCTGAAACATATAAGATTATGTAACACATGTAAACTCACCCTTCTAATCTTACATCCGGCAGACTTCTGTTAAGGGCAATCAAATCACTGGCCATAAGGTTAAACTGATTGATTTTAAACAGTTCTTTCATCTTCTCCTGGTCATCTTTAGGAATCAGCACAGCCTTTCCCATTTCTCCTGGCCCTTCTTGATTTCTTGAAATAACAGCTGTAAGACACATAGGTACACAGATACATAAAAACACAGATAGTGAACTGAATAAATAAACTCACGTGTTGGATTTGATCCTCAAGAGTATTATTTATATACTGGCTTAATAATACAATCATCAAATCTTTACTGTTTACTTATAAACCACACACTACACTAAAGAAACAACCTATTTTAATTCATTAACTCAATGCTGCATGTTGTCTTTCAAGTCTAGATATATAACGTGATCTGACTAATCATTAAGACTTAAAAATTACACAATACAAAATACCAAAAATAAAAATTTCATATCTGTACTCAGAAAATTATAAGACACTCAAGAAAGAAATAGAAGACATAAATAAGTGGAAGCACACACTGTGTTCACGGATAGGAAGAATCAACATCATTAAAATGTCCATACTACCAAAGCTATCTATAGATTCAATGCAATTGCTATCAAGATTCCAAAAACACATTTCACAAAACTAGAACAAATATTTCAAAAATGTAAATGGAACCACGAAAGGCTCCACATAGCAACAGCGATCCTGAGAAAGCAGAACAAAGTTGGAGGAATCATGCTACCTAATATGAAACTATACTGTAAGTCCATAGCAATCAAAACAGCATTGTACTGGCATAAAAACAGATACATAGATTAGTTGAGCAGAATAGAGAGCCCATAAATAACCCCACAGCATTATAGTCAATTAATATTCAACTGAGTAAGCAAGCACATACAAAGGGCTAATGATAGTTTATTCAATAAATGGTGTTGGGAAAATTGGACAGATATGTGCAGAAAAATAAAGCTATACCATTTTTTTACAGCACACAAAATAACAAATTCAAAATGGATCAAAGACTTAAATTTTAGATTAGAAACCATAAGAATCCTAGAAGAAAACAAAGGCAGCAAAATCTCAAACACTGCTTGTAGCAACATTTTGTAGTAATCAGATGTATCTCCCTTGGCAAGGGAAACAAAGGAAAAAAATAAACAAATGGGATTACATAAAACTAAAAAGTTCTTGCCCAGCAAAGTAAATCATCAACAAAATAAAAAGACATCCCATAGAATGGTAGAACATATTTACTGATACATCTGATAAGGGGTTAATATCCAAACTTTTATAGAGAACTTACAAAATTCAAAACCAAAAAAAACAACTCAATTTTAAAAAATGAGTGAAGGCTCTGAATAGACACTTCTCTAAAGAGGACATACAGATGACCAATATACATGTGAAAATATTCTCAATGTCACTAATCATCAGAGAAATGCAAATGAAAACCACAATGAGACATCACCTCACACCTCTCAGAATGGCTATCATCAACAAATCAACAAACAAGAAGTGCTGGCGAGGATGTGGAGAAAGGGGGTCCTTTGCACTGTTGGTGAGAATGAAGGTTGGTGCAGCCACTGTGGAGAACAGTATAGAGATACCTTAAAAAATTAAAATGGACCTGCCTTTTGACCCAGCAATCCCACTTCTGAGAATGTATCTGAAGGAACCCAAAATTCTATGTTCACTGTAGCATTATTTACAATCATCAAGATATGGAAGCAGCCCAAGCATCCATCAGTGGATGAGTGGATAAAACAACTATTCGACATTTACACAGTGGAATACTACTCAGCCATAAAAAGAAGAAAATTTAACCCTTTGCAAAGTATGGATGGACCTGGAGAACATTATGTTAAGTGAAATAAGCCAGCCAGAGAAAGACAAATGCCATATGATTTCATTCATATGTGGAATCTAATGAACTGAACTAACAGAGAAAATGGGGACAGACTCATAGATGGAGAGCAGGTGACAGATAGTGGGGGGATGGAGGGCTTGAGCAAAAAGGCAAAAGGACTCATGGACACGGACAACAGTGTGGTGATGGCTGGGGAAATGGGGGCATAAAGGGACTAAATGGTAATGGAAAAAAATTACTGTAAATATTACATTTTTTTAACAAATTTATTTTTAGAGAGAGGGGAAGGGAGGGAGAAAGAGAGGGAGAGAAACATCGAGGTGTGGGTGCCTCTCCTTTGCCCCGTCCTGGGGACCTGGCCTGCAACACAGGCATGTGATCTGACTGGAAATCAAACCCTCGACCCTTTGGTTTGTAGGCCGGCACTCAATCCACTAAGCCACCCTAGCCAGGGTATAAATATTAAATTAAAAAAAAAGAAAAAGAAAAAAGAGAAAGCATATTTTGCTTAATTTAGGAAATAAAATTCTAACAATAATATGTTCCGTTGGGAGACAGTAAGCTTATTGTCCCTAAAATTAGATGGAGTTGTTGGAGTTAGCTTTTGGTGAATTTGTGCTGTTGGTGAGTTGTTGGGCTTAGCCAGGCATTAAGGTACCTTCTACCTCTAGGGTTTAAGTTTTGATTCCACAAAAAAGTTTTAAAAATTTTCTGTTGTTCTCTCAGGAGTCTTCTGATTCTGACATAAGGAACATAATGAGGCTACACAATATTCTCTATTGACCATGGGTATTTCATAAACGCAGTAGATATACCTATATCTATATCTCATATTTATTTGCTCATTCCTTGTTTCCTCTATATAGCTTAAAGAAAAAAAATTACCCACACATCCACAAAATACCATGTTTCTCTAAAATATTTTTTAAAAAAAAAGAACTGTCATTAAAGTATGTGTGCTTCCTTTTTACTCTAATAGGCAAATGTAATAGAGAAGGCAACTAAATCTACTTTATATTATCTTGACTATTGATTTGAATATAGATGAAAATATCTCCAATCAAAACTTGGTCTGGAGTATAAAAATAGATTAATATACTATGCTTTAAATTATCTTCTTCCTAATTATATGGTGAAATCATTAAAAACAGTAAATAATTAATTTGACTCAAAAATCACATTACAGTCATATGCCATATAATGACATTTAAATCAATATGGACTATGTATATGACCCTGGTCCCATAAATTATAATGAAGCTGAAATATTCCTATCACCTAATGATGTCAGCCAGCATAAGGTCATAGAGCAATGCGTTATTCACATGCTTGTGGTGATGTGGTGTAAACAAGCTCACTACACTGCCAGTTGTAGAAAAGTCTAGCACCTACACTTGTGTACAATACATAATACTTCATAATGCTAATAAATGACTATGTTACTGGTTTATAATATTTACCATACTATACATTTTGTCATTATTTTAGTGTATACTTTTTCTACTTACTAAAAAAAGTGTGTTGTAAAACAGTATGCTGTGCTATGCCAGCTGCAGCCTCGTATCTTTAGTGTTTACCATGTCTGTTGACTGCATTTGTTATGGCAGAGTCTAACTACTGCACTATCCCATTTTCTCTTGCTCCTGAATATACATCTATACAACATCACCCAGTCTTCCCTGCACTTAACTGTAGTCTGATAACTGAGAATAGAAATGATATATAACAATTCCAGGCCTAGTCCATAAAAACTTTCCATATGTGATTCTCCATAGTCTTTCTCTTGCTATAGCAACTTTAGAAGCTATTGAAAACAGCAGAGACATCAGAAGAAGGCAATAATATGGGTGACTGAATCATCACTTGGAAGGGCACCGCCAGCGGATCAGGTATGGTAGTGCCCCCTTATCCATAAGTTCACCTTCTGCGGTTTCAATTATCTGCAGTCAACAAAATTCCAAAGATATTAAGTGGGAAACTCAAGAAATAAACAATTCATAAATTTAAATGTTGGGCCATTCTGAGTACTTCGGTTCATTTTAGGTATGGGCAATGTATTCTATCATGTCACCACAGGAAGAACACAAGTGAGTACAGGACGGTAAGATATGTAGAGAGAGAAACCATATTCCCATAACTTTCAGTACAGTATATAGTTATAATTGCCTTATTATTACTGTTACTATCTCATTTTGCCTAATTTAAAAATTAAACTTTACCATAGGTTCGTATGTGCAGGAAAAAACAGTATATATAGGGTTTGCTACTATTGCTGTTTGAGGCACCCACTGGGGGTCTTACTATTTTTTAATCCTCACCCAAGGATATTTTTATTGATTTGAGAGAGAGAGACAGAGATGGGAGAGAGAAACATCAATCAGTTACCTCCCACATCTGCCTCACGTAGGGATTAAACCCACAACCTAGCTATGTAATTGCACCTGCAACATTTTCACATATGGGACACTGCTTCAATCAACTGAGCCACCCGGCCAGGGTGTCCACTAGGGGTCTTAAAACATTGACCCAGGATAAAGGGGGGATATTGTATACGCACTGCATAATTTTCATCAGAGAAACAGCTCTATTTTGTAAACCACTGGGATTTCTGACCTCTCTGTTACACTCGATAGTGTTATTTTTCTCACTACACTTTGTCCTTTTCCCATTAATCTATGAAGACTCATCATGTTCTGCTTCAACTTTGACTTAGCCAAGTACCTAGCACTGCTCATTTAATCAGTGAATAAATTGAAAAAAGTGGAAGGAACCTCGGAGAGAATCTAGTACTTCTATCAAGAGACTGATGAACAGAATAATTCAAACAGAGGTTTTCTCCATCTCAGCGGTGTATAAAATTATTGATTGTAATATTATAAAAGAAGTGAAACTACTTCACATTTTATGTTAAATATTACTCTTAATTGGTATTTAATATTTGGCTTAAAAATACCTGTACACATTATAAATAAATATATAGACATTAGTACGAGATCAAAAATGTTTATTGATACTGGCACATAATTAAAATGTATGGGAACTATGGCCTTAAGCAGTTTTAATTAGATCACAAAACAGATCCTAAGCAGATAATTAAAGTAACCACCATTTAAATAAAGCGAGCATGTGATTAATCTCTTTTCAATTCCCAATGGTGTAACTTCTAAAAAAAATAATAGTTTTTATAACTATTACAAATGATTCTCAGTATGGCTGCCTAAATATTGGCAGCTATTAGCCTCACAATCATGGACCAGTTGCTCTGCTTTTATTGTCCATAAATCCTTCTTCTATAAAATGTG